ACAGGTGGATTTAGTGAGTCTGGCAGACAATTATCAGCACTTTGTCATGGAGCTGCCACCAGCCCTGACATCACCTGTCTTTAATCACCTTTAATTAGCTCGGGAAATTTCATTTACTTAACGGCAAGTGGAGAAACTGCGATGAAGGAGAAGAAAAAAAAAAAAGCAAAAGCACAGAATCTGTCTGGAATTTTAATGAGACGTGGGAGCACTGCATCTGAAAATGTCAGCCGATGTACAGCAGGTGTAACAGGAGCAGAACACGGTCTGGTGGTGAACCATCCTTCACCTACACTTTACCACCGGTTTGGACAGAAACGTTCACGCAATAAATGCCACAACTGTGTTGTTTGGACACAGTGATGGAAGGGGGGGGGGGGGTTGAAGTGATGACTAATCACGTGGCGGATCTTTCTGTTTGTCGTTTGATTTGACTGTAACCTGCTGTAAATGACCCTGTCACAGTGCGACGTGGTGAGGTGTATAAACCGTCCGTGTTGTTTCTGTTCTACTCTGTGAAAATACTGTGTAAAATGCTGTAACTGACTGTGTTCAATTATGGTTTTTGGAGTTAAAAAAAAAAGATGTAATTATCACCCTTTATTTTTACCCCTCCAGAAAAATATACAGATGACTGTTCTGGTTCTAATTTTGGTGATTGTTGAAGCTCATCGTGTAAATAATCACATTTCCTGTGAGTTCCATTTCTGTAATCCCTGCTAATCCCAGCCATTTTGATTTCTTGCTCGCTTAATCTTGATTTAATGGATCATCTGTAAAATAGAAGCCAGAGCTGTGTGTGTGTGTGTGTGTGTGTGTGTGTGTGTGTGTAGCCAAGGTGCAAATGTTCATTTGGAATATTTTGGATTTCACAGGTGTTTATTTTTGTTTCTTTCCTTTTGTCTAACTGAAAATGTACCAAAAAAAAAAAAAAAATCACTTGCGGTTTCCAACGTGACATTAAACCTCATTTGAACTCAGCTCAGCATCGAGTCCCACTGTGTGTCGACGCTCACACTTGTCTCATTTCATTCCTACGAGCTCTGCTCAGCAGGATAAACACACCGTTTAAAGAGGTGCATTTCACTGGAGCTTTTTAATGGCCAATAAATCTGTGTCCACAGGCGGAGACGATACCAGAGCTACACCCCAGGGAACACCTCCATTTCTCTCTGGCAATCAGAGACAGGGGTCTTTTCAATCGCTTCCATTACTCTTATCTGATCACGACGAGGCTCCCGTTCTTTACAGACGTCCAGTCCCACCAGGCTCTTCCTGCCTCCTCCAAAACCCTCAGGAAACCAAGAGGAATGTTAACACACACCCAGATTCAGGGCCATAAAACCAACCGCACTCAGGCTTGGATTGGAACACAAACACACCGCTGCTCCAGGACGCTGGAGTTGTTCACCTGATCCTGGAAGTGGATCAAAGCGATGAAGAACGGAACTCTACGTCAACTCTCGACACGTCTGGGCCGACCGCTAATCACAGTCACGGTAATACGAACCGGTTAGTGAGCAGCCACTGGTTGGCGCTGCTGCAAACTTGTTACAGTGTTGCAGCTAAACAATTGAGTCCACTTTCCTACAGCTAAGACAGGAAGTATTTGACGTCCATATGAATGAAATATTTTGATGCAAAAACCACATTTAAAATCAACCGCATCGTCCAGTTTTGTTACAGTTATAAATGTCTGCTCTTACTGTTTCCAATTTCAAACACTGACACAGCAATTATTTTTCTAATTAGTGTTGGTGAAAACAAAAACCTGTCTGGCCGTTTTTTAAGACTTTAAATCAACTGCTTTCATACAATCTGGATCCAAAGACCTTGAAGTCTGATGAAAAAGGAGCTGCAGAAACAAGTTTGAAACAAAATCAGCAAAAAGTGAAGTCTGAGTTTAAAGGTTTTGAAGGTCGTTCACTTCTCTGACCAGTCGGATCACGTGGTCAAACACTAGTGTTGAACGTAAACATAAAGAACCAGAAGCTCAGACTCCGAGGACCAGCCACACCTGCTCAGGTCACGTCACAGATCCAAGGAACGTGGCTGGAAATCACAGCCAAAAATATTTCCTTTTGGACCAAAAATGTCCCCAAAGACAAAAGTCTTTCACATTACAAAGGCTGATGTGGTCCAACATGGCAGCCGCTGCAGCCGTGGTAGTACTACGTACACGGTGAAGTACTATAGAGTACTTTAAAGCTGATGAGATAAACAACCTTCACACATGACCTACTGGTCTGACAGAAATGTAATTTAAAATTATTTCACAAAAATCTACTGCAACTCTGCACCCTGAGAGGCCTCGCCCCACACTTTTGCCACCACTGTTATTAATGAACATGTAACCTCATCCAGGGTCAGAGCTGCTGTTGCCGTGTCTGTGGCTAACGACGTCCGTTAGAAGAGTTCACGACCATTAAAGGTAAAGGCATGAACAGGGTCGACAAATCAACACAGCTTCAACACCAACTGAAGACGAGCCGCGTCCGTAAACACGGCCATTAAAGTGACACGGCGTTGACAGGAGCCGCTCGTCCTCACCCTGAAACCTGAGACAACAAACAAACGTGGGGCTGGTCAAGCTGCTGGAAATGTTTTAATGGGTCAATGCAGAGGCCTCAGCGCTGACAACTTTTCTCATTCAACGCCCAAGGATGAGCAACATCACGGAGAAATGACGCCGCTCTCCAGGCGTCAGCCGCACCACAAACAAGACGCACCGAGTAAACAGGACACGCCCCCTACCCCCCCCCACCCCTCCATTCAGACACAGAACGACGCTGCCAGTCGAAGTGATGCTCAACATCCTACAAATACCCAAGCATGTTAGAGGGGTTTTTGCACATTTTCAATTCATTTAATTCTGCACAGGTAACTCAGAGAATTGCGAGAAAAAAAAAAAAACAAAAACAAAAAAACAACAAAAGGAATTGTTAAAAAAACAAGATTGGACACTTTCTTTGACAATAACATGACCATGCATTAGTCTCTCCACTTTTAGTCAACCACAATATATTGAGGATATATATTTGCAAGTTGGAATTAAATGTTTTCAATTTTTTAATCCGTTACAGTTCACAGAAACATGAGCTGGAATATGCCACTCCGACGGAGAGTGAGAGTAAATACTTGAATGTTTCTTGGGCCGGGGAACCTCAACGTTCCGTCTTACACGTCACATGACACTGCGCTGTCATAATGGCCGAGCACTGTACCCCCCACCACACCCCACCCCCCCACAGTTATGTCATAGGTCAGACTTCCTTGTACACTGGTCTGAAGATGTTTCAACGGTCATTAACATAGAAATGGTGCCATCAATATGGGGCATACACATTTTTTTAAAAAGTGTAAAGAACTGACCTTGCACTGAAAGTGTTCATGCTTTTAATGTCTAGTCACAAAACGGGCTAAACATTACAAATATATTTATATATATATATAATATTTCCCATTTAGTTAAACCTTTGTTACGTTCCTATAGGACTCCATATCAAAATGACTATTCATGGGAACTAGTGCAACCTGGAGGAGGCCTGGTCTCAGTGACAAGGCAGGCACAGAGTCAGAGACAGAGAACTCTAGAGCGGCTCCAGAGCAATGGCAGATAATATTAAGGCCATTTTTAAATGACAGGAAAGAAAAAAAAAAAACAAAAAAAAAAAAAAACAAAAAATAAGTGGCATTCAGACTGACTTACTGCCCCACTTGGGCTGAACACAATTCAGCCCAAGAAGCAACGCAACACCGACTGAAACCATCTTTTTTTCTTTTTTTTTTTTCCTTCCTCCCTCACTCCGTTGGTGTCAGTCATCCATGTGCCAGCCTCCCCACACTGCCGGGCCAGGCAGCCCACTCCTCTTTATTCAAGTGTGTTCCATTTGGATGGAAATAAAAAGAGTGGTAGCCCTCACTAGTCCTTCCTTTGTAAACCCACACCTCCTGCCTCCAGTAAAGTCCCGGTGCAGTCGCGCAGTCAGGACTGTTTTAGACGCTTCCTGGGAAGACCAAAGGGCGGGCACTGTGCTGACGCCAGGGCGCGGAAGGCCTCGGCGACCAAGTGAGGGTGTGACTGGATCATTGACTTCCAGCCTGCAGTCTCCATTATGTCTGTAGCATGACTGTAAGCACAGAGAGAGCGAAGTCAGCGCTCCGACACCAGGATGTGCACATTAAAAATCAATAAACATAAATGAGACAATAATGACTGCACCAATAAGGAGGACCTGATTGGTGACTTCTCGGGCGAAAACCTTAAATAGGGCCATTAGTGCTTGGTTGTTCAACTGCGTGCGTGCGCGTGCGTGCGTAAGAATGAAGCTAACGCCGTGGATTCAAACGTCTACACACTCTGAACGCAACCAAGACGGATGCAAGTTGGACGTTTCAAGGTGTCCTATGATAACACGATACATCATCCCCAAGAAAAACTTCCCGCCGCGACTTCCTCTTTTCTCTTTAAAATTCAGCAAATCTTCCATTGGTGGAGTTTATGCAGGTACGAGTCTATTAATAACAGGGATACAAAGATACGGGGCTTCAAAGTGAGAAGCCAAACAGCGGCCCGTCTGCCCCAGCTAAAACAATGAATTCTAATGCATCTGGTTGGCGGCAGAGATAAGCTGGTGTTATTAATCTTGTGTCACATATATCAGCTAATTACATACTTGCTATTCCAGTTCTTTCCATCTTTACAGCCCAGCTGTCTCAGGACACTGCACCTATGGCAAGGAGATAAAAAGGTAAGCATTCAGGGCTGGTAAACAGAAATGGCAGCAGGGATTCATCATCAGAGTTTTTTTTTTTTTTTTTTTTCCGCCTGTGCGATACTTGCCTGTTGATAAAATCTATGGCTTGTGCTTTAAGCTGCTCGGCGCTGTGCAAGTCTGCGAGGATGAGGGTGTCGGCCACATTCTCCACTGAGAGGCTGTTGCACAGGGCCTCTTCACACATGACCTTTAGACGCTCCAAAGCGTACTGGGGTTGGTGGGGATGCGCACACACACACACACACACACACAGAGAGAGAGCAGTGGTTACATCTCAGATCACACATGACCTTGGGTTTCAGGTTTTCTCTTCTCAAGAACAGTTACACGTACGAGGACATCATTTTTTTAACAGTTTAATTCTAATACTGATGAAATGGGGTTTTGTCAAATAAGAGATATTTGTAAAATGTAGTAGAATACCAGTGATGATTCCTTAGTTCTTACTTTGTCTGCAGCTGCCAGCAGGTTATCTGCCATTTTCTCCAGGTTGGGGGCCTTTCCCGTGTAGATAAAGCCCATCATTTCCTTAAAAACCTCAGGGTCTACATCACTGATGTCAACACGGTTCTTAAAAAAAAAAAAAAAAGGACTAAGTTTACTAATCACATCATCACAGATCTTAACAATCACTTGGTTTCATCACTTATCCTCACCTTTTTACTTTCTTCCATCTCATGTTCAAACATTGCATTAAAAACCGGTGACCTCGCTGTCAGAAAAAGAGATGACAAACATTAAAAACAATGTCATTCATATCAACAGGTATGAAGTAAAGTCAAGTGTTTGTGGTCTTTCTAGACGTCCAAGGAGACGGACGTCTCACAGGAGGGAACATGTGCAGATCTAGACCTGAAGGATTAGGACTTTAAAACTCTGCAGAGATCTGTTGAGCGGCCACTCCGTCAGCACTTCCTCTCTGCACCACAGTTGTCACCATGTCTAATGGAGACAAGCTGGGAGACAAGCAGAACCAGACTCTCAGTCCCCTGGATTGGGCCAAGTGGGGCGGATTAGCAGAACTGGGCCTCGGCCCGTCCTCAGACCGCCTCCTGTCCTCTCTATAGTTTTAAGTAGGACTTCAGTAATTAAGAATGATTTTTTCTTTGATGTTCATTTTCTGGAATAAAAGCATGTTTTCCCCCCGTTTGCGTCACTTGTTGACGAGTCAGAACATGTTCCCTAACACAGTTTGTTCGTTTTAATTAACAAACAACCACGACCCAAACTGCCCTCATCAAAAGGTCAAAGAGGGTTTTACCTGCGAGAATGGATTTGTGGGCTTTGAACTCCTGCCCTCCTACATATAGACTGCAGTCAGTGAAGCGTGAACACTCCCAGAGATTCCCCAGGTCATCAGACAGCTGACACTCTGGTACCTTCAGCATGTTCATGTTAGACTGGCCTGAAATGTTCACCGAGTC